CTAATTTAATCTTAAATGCCCTTTGGCTGGGGCTTCTTTATCCCAGATAAAACCCCAAGATCTGAGACCAATTTTGACAGGCACATGATACCATCAGAATGGTGCTTCATTGGGAAAGCAAAACAAGAACAAACCTTCACTACACAGTACCCATCACCAGCTAAGAAAAAGATAAGGAGCATAAGAAAGAACAAACATAGGAAATGGTCTTCTATCTAATCAGACAGGAACAAACTATTGAGTAGGACATGCCAGAGAACTGTTTTTAAACACCTTTTAACAGGAGTGACCTCACAAGAAGTTATAGCTTTTTTTCTGCCTAAACCTGAAAATGGAATTTAAACAATGCTTTATGGTTTGCTCAGTAATTTTTCCTTTACATTTCTCTTCCCCTTTGTGGTAAGTTGAACATTGTTGTGTAACATTATTTGGACTGTTATACAAAACATCATAGTGAGCAACAATGAGAACACAATCCTGCAGCGACAGGGCAAGCAGTGGCATTAACTCCCACAGCTGCCAGAGCCACCACACCCTCGCAGCAGGGCCAGTTAACACCACCACCTCTCACCCCATTTCTGGCCTATGAGGTCAAGTGAGTTTGACACCCCTGATCCAAAACAAACTGTTGATCATATTATGTTCAATCCTGCACAAAACAACATTACATTATTGCTTCCATCTCACTGCTGAAGATATTGAGAGTAAATTCTACATGATTTTCCAATTCAAGTCAATTAGCAAAAACACTATAAATATTCCTTTTCATGTGGATAACAGATACAGCAAGGTAAAATAAAACCAAGAGCAGAAACTTGCCTTCATACACTGCATGAAAGTTTGAAACAAGCAGCATGTTGTGCATAAATAACTAATAAAGTACCACATCAGTCTACTAAATATTAAATCAACAGATTCATTAAAGGAGGTCCTTTCATTAGCTACTGTGTTTAATTTGTCTAAAGGACTGGAGATTTAGTTTTGAGCATTTTAGTCAGATTTAGTTTACACCTGCTTGCTTCTCTACTGTCTCCTTTCAGGGTAAGTTCAGATGTTCCCCCACCCTAGCTTATGTTAGCATACCTCTATTTAAAGACTACCACTAGGGGTGTACCAATAGAGATTTTTGGGGCCAATACCAGTATCCAATTTTTAAAGAGGCATATTGGCTGATACTAATCCGATTTCTAACACAGTGTGAAAAGCTGCCCCCAGCTGGTTAAGTCTGTTGTGGTGGAAGGGGAGGGGAGGGGCATGGGGGGGGCAAATCAACGCCCCCACTGCCATGAGGGAGGGGATAGGGGCAGGCGCATCCCAGGGTAGGATGGAGCAGAGTGCAGGATGGAACCATGGCTCATCAG